GGAGTATGTGCCGATCAACGGCTGAGTGCAGCTAGAATTTTTCGTCGAATGCCGAGAATTGAATCATTCAGTTTTTTGAATAAGTTAGGTATAAGATGATAAGTTGGTTATATATGATCAAATGTTATGAAAAAATAAATAGTGAAGTACAGTCGTGATAATTACAAACGGTGCAACAATGATAAATTGCATGATTACGGTGCTAAAGTAGATATTAATTAATGTAATTAACCCACCCTAGATAAGAGAAAACGAATCGGAAGAGGAAAAAAGGAATGAAGAAAGAGCTAGAACTAGAGTAGCCGGTTATTGTCACCGTTGTGGATTCAACGCTTCGTGTAGTAGAGATCCCAAACGGTGTTGTACGTCTTTTTTCCAAGCTTTTTGTTTCTTCACATGACGATAGAAATCCTCCAACAGAGTGTGTGCTGTAGGTGCATGGGGTATACGCATGAAGGCTGTGATGGCTGCCAGAAGCAATTGATGCGCCTAGAATATGGTAATAAATCATTTGTTATTGACTCTTTGATTGTGAAAAACAACCCAAAAAATCAAAGAAACCAACATCTTCCATATCGCTGCTGTTGAAGCGATTATGACTGAGTTTTACGCCAGCAGCAGCGTAGAACTGCTCGATGCAGCGCTCATACAATTCTGCCGTTGATGGATGAGCATATGTCTGCAGCATGACCGCTCGAGTCTTAAAAAAATGGAATTTTGGTGGAAGTAGTACGAATAAGAAATTCTGGGGGCCTGAAAGCAGTGTCCCGACAAATTTCGTTCCCAGTTATTCACTTTTTCGGAGCCTTCTCGCCATGAGGAACCAAACCTGGGCTTCTCAGCGAAGGAAAATGGCAGAAATGGGCTTTTCTTGAAGCCTTCCAAGTCCCATTTTCTTTTTCAGCTCATTTTGTTTGCGAAAAGGCGTCTTTTTCAAAGCTTTCCAGCTCCGCATTCAGTGAAAATTTCGAGAGAGGGAAGTTTTCCGCGCCCGCCTCCCTCGTTTCGAACTCCGCCCACTTACACGTGTTTTCCACTAAATGCAGACCTGGAATCTTCAAGAAAAGCTCATTTTCGCCATTGTCATGCACTGAAAAGCCCAGATATGGGTTCCTCATGGCAACAAGGATTCGAAAAGGTGAAAAAAAAAACTGGAAAAGGAAAATTTGCCCGGACACTGCCTTTGATGGTATCTTAAAAATCAAAATCAAACACACATCAACGCTTCAAATAGCAAAATACTCACCCTGCCAGCAACATGTGCAAAAGCTTTACTTGAAGGAGTAGGCTGTGGAGGAGGTACTGAACGGTTTATCGGAGGCATAGAGTACTGCTGAGGGTACGGTGGAAGACGGCTGTAACGTATATAATTAGCAGTCCAGAAATTATTATTAATAGATATGGCTCGAAATTTGAATATTTCAACAAAATACAGCTTGCCCAAGCTTACCTATTTGCCTCCATGGCAAATTGAAAGAGCAAGAATGGAGAAGAAACAGCCTTGGCAACAGCGTCGAGGAAATTAATAAAATATGGAGTGCCCAGCTGTACAGATATGGTAAACAACCACCGAATATCTTCGGCGTAAGGAGGAGTCTAAATTTTGCGGTTGTGTCAAGAATTGAAGATATTCGGCACACATACCTGAGAATACTTGCTATACTGCCGCGTCTCATCATTGGCACTTGCTGCCATTGTGGCCAATGCCCGGATTCCAACGCGGTGTGCATTCACGAGTCGGGGCCGAGTATCCGATCCAGGTTGAGCACCTAATCTACCCGACAACTGGGGCGCTGACTGGCTTTGATGTAGTCTGCCCATCTCGTTTACGGAAAGCCCACTGCTACTTGGTTGGCTAAAGAAAGGAATCAATCAAGCATTTCGAGTACACAAATCTTAATCATACTCTGAAAA